TGGGCAGCAGCAGCATCTTTTCTGAAGAAAAATGAATATTACGCATCTAACACCTCAACCATGTACACACCTTCCTCTTCCTCTTCCTCTTCCTCTTCCTCTTCCCCCTCCCCACCCACCCACCCATGTATAAATCCCCAATTTTGTTTCTAATTGACCCTATTCCTCCTTTAACTGCTCTGCTTCTATTTATATGCCTATAGAAAACTTTGCCATTCCACTTTAAGTTGGTTACCATGTACCTTCTCAGTGAAAATACATAATATTATACATAATATATAAAAATGAATTCGTATAATTTTTTTCACCTTTCCTTTTTTATCAAATATTTTAGCACTTTTTAAATAGTGTTTTTAAATAAACTGATTCACTTCTTTAATTCATAATTCCCACTTGGTTATGAATTCTGGTATAGTTCTACTTTATTAATATAGATAATACATTTTTCATTACTTTATGCAACCAAATATAAGATAGTTGCTGTTGCCATTTAGATTATATTGCAGATTATCAAACTACCACACAATCGTTTAATAAGGTTGAATAGAAATAATAATTTGCTGACTTTGCAGAAGTCTCAATGTGTGATTTAAGGTACTGAGAAGTTCTACTGAAACGGAGAAGACAAAGACCAGTGATTTTATTTTTCAAATTGTGGCGTGTTTTGATTTTGAATAGGGAAAAGATTATCCCCTTTAGTTGGGGAAGAGGATTCATCAATTCAAAATTACTGCATAGAATGACTGGATAAGTGGGAAACTTATAGTTTCCTAAACTATATTCCTGCCATGATCCAATTTTAATGCTTCACACTTGGTGCAACTCCATAATGGAAAATGTCATACAGCTATATTGTCAAGCAAAGTGGGATTTCAACCAACAGAGATACAAACACAGAAACAACTCTGACATTTACCATTTAGCAAGCTTAGTTGATGGCAATGGTAAGGCCACAGAGCATATTGAATTAAAAAATCACACGATTACAGAGATCCCACAGCAGATCCCAGGGCTGTCAAATCTGGGTCTTTGTCTCACAGCCCCATCCATTCCTGCCTTGGGTGTGTGACACAATGCCCATCTATCATCACCCACAGTTTTGAATCGTCTGTACTGGCATGTAGAATTGCTGCATGGTATGGTCAGAATTGGATCAATGCCCATTTTAAAGAAAATTTGTGACAGATTGGGCACTACAATTTATTTTGCATTTTGTAGCAAAGGCCATATGACCCCTATGCTGTAGGTCTCTCTGCTCTAATTTTTGCACTGCCTTTGTCAGCTGTGTTGTCGCCAACAGAAACTGGATTTGGAACTAGTATTACCAATATCAGTTCAATGTAGTTAACTTTACTGTTGATGTGCTCTAACCATGTCAGTGGCGAGAAGCATTTGTTCAAGGTGGTGAAGACCAATGTACACTAGATTTTTTTGTAGTACAGGCCAATTTTGTTTGTGTGTGTGTAGGCTTTTAAACTTTTTTGCACACCTGTGTACTCAACTTGCACAGAAAATTGGATTCTGCAGCTTAAAGGAGATTTTGTTTTCTGAAGGGCTTTTGCATTGTTATAGAATGGACAGCTATGGGTGATTTTGTGTTTGTGATTTTAATGTTTTACAGAAAATACAGCGTGAAAGATTAAGGTGTTTACTGGATAGGTTTCTTATTGTGTAGTACGTGTAGTTTTGTTTGAATTTTCCCAGACAGTTAGTTTTGTTGTTCGAGTGGTATGTTTACTGAATGTAGCTTTGCAGCATGTCATAACGGAATCACAGAATTGTTACAGTACAGGAGGAGCCATTTGGTCTATTGTAACCATTGCCAACTCTCCAAATGAGCAGAGATAGTAGGAACTGCAGATGCTGGAGAATCCGAGACAACAAGGTGCAGGGCTGGATGAACACAGCAGGCCAAGCAGCATCATAGGAGCAGAGAGGCTGACGTTTCGGGCCTAGACCCTTCATCAGAAAAGGCCTCTCTGCTCCTATGATGCTGCTTGGCCTGCTGTGTTCATCCAGCCCTGCACCTTGTTGTCTCCAAATGAGCAGCTCACTTAGTGGCATTCTCTTGCCTTCTCTCTATAATCCTGTACAATCTTCCAGTTAAAGTAGCTCTCTCACTGTCATGGAAAAGAAATGAAAGAATATATACGTCATTCAATGTCTTGATTTGAGACAAGTCATTTTGATCAGAAGTGCTATGTGTGAATGATCTTTGTGCAAGTCAAAAAAAATGTTTTCACAATTTGAGTATCATTTTGTGTTTTGGACATTGTCTGTGTGTATGTCAAAACAGTTTTGTTTCATCCTACCAGACTCCTTTTTGTGACTTCTTTCTTTCCCACGTTTTAGAAGTTGTTCTTCTCTGCAGGTTACTAGTCAGCCCATTGTCTGAACTTCAGGCTAGCCATAATTCAGCCTTTTAAAAATCCTAGAATAGGCATCCAGAATTGGAAGTCATGGTCGTAGAAAACAGGAATAGGCCTTTTGAGCCTGCTTCAAGCCTTCAGTGCAATCATGGTTATCATTCTACCGAGTACCCTGTTCCTGCTTTCGCCCATCCCCTTTGTTCTCTTTAGAACTCAGAACTAGATCTAACTACCTATAACCAAACTGATCCAGTCTCTCTTCACATGTCAGTCCTGCCATCTCAGGACTATGTTTGGTGAACATTCATTGCAATGAGTCCTTAGCCGGAACATCCTCCCTCCGATTTGGAGACCAAAGTTATACATGCAACTCCAGATGTGGTCTCACCAAGCTGCAGTTGTGCAGAGCCAAGACATCCCTGCTCCTGCACTCAAATCCTCCTCGTTATGAAGGCCAACATTCCATTTGCCTTCTTCACTGCCTGCCTTTTAGTGACTGGTGTACGAGAGCACCCAGGCCTCATTGCATCTCCACCTTTTCCAATCCGTGGCCATTTGAATAATAATCTGTCGTCTTGTTTTTAGTATCAGAGCGGATAGCCTCACGTTTATCCACGTTGTACTTCATTTACCATGCATTAGCCCACTCACTTAACTTGTCTGAATCACATGGAAGCATCTCTGCAACCTCTTCACAGTTCAGCCCCACCCAGCTTTGTATAGTCTGCAATCTTGGAGATACGACATTTAGTTTCCTCACCTAAATCATTAATCTATGTTGCGAATATCTGGGGCTCAAGCACTCATCTCTTTGGTACTCCCCTCATCACTGGCTGCTATTCCAAAGATGATCCATTTATTCCTATTCTTTGGTTCCTCTCTGTCAACCAGTTCTCTATCCATGTCAGTATGCTAGCTCCAATCCCATACACAATGATTTTACATGCTAATCTCTCAGTGGGACCTTATCAAATGACTTCTGAAAGGCCAAATAAGCCACATCAACTGGATCCCCCTTATCAACTCTGCTGGTTACATCCTCACAATTCCAATGGGTTTGTCAAGTGTGATTTTCCTTTTCTTCAATCCATGTTGACTGTTCAATCCAGTTGCTCTGTTATTAAATCTTCTATAATGAACTTTAGCATTTTCTCCACTATCTATGTCAGGTTAGCAGGTCTATAATTCTGTGTTTCCCCTCAATCTTCTTTTTTAAATAGTGAGGTTACATTAGCTGCACTCCAATCTGTAGGAGCTATTCCAGAGTCTCTAGAATCTTGAAAGATCACCAATGCTGCTTCTTCCAGGGCCACGTCCTTAAGTACTCTGGGCCTAGGCTTTTGGGCCCTGGGAAATGTCAGCCTTTAATCTCGTAAATTTCACCACCATCATATCCTCACAATACTAACTTCCTTTAGTTCTTCACTGTCCTTAGACCCTGCATTTCCCCAACATTTTTGGGAATGTTATTTGAGTCCTCCTTTGTGAAGGTGGATCCAAAATTAAAATGGTCTACCATTTTTGTACCCTAGTATAACTTCCCTTGTTTTTGATAGTAAGGGATTTACATTTGTCTTCACTAACCTTTTTTCTCTTCACATACCTATGGAAGCTTTTACAATCAGGTTGTCTGTTCCTCATAAGCCTTCTTTCATAGTCTGTTTTCACCCTCTTAATCAACTCGTTTGTTCTCCTTTTACTGAAATTGAAACTGCTGCCAATCCTCAGATCTGCTGTTCTTTTTAGGCCAGTTTGTGTGCCTCTTCCTTGGATCTAATACTGTCCCTAATTTCCCTTGTCAGCTATGGCTGGGCCACCTTTCCCATTTTAATTTTGTGCCAGAAAGGAATGAGCACTGTTTGCAAGTCCCTCCAAGTACTCTTTTTTTTTTTAAATATGTTCCATCACCTATCCACTGTCATCCTTTTTTAAGTAACGTTCCCCAAATTATCATAGTCAACTTGCACCTCATACCATTGCAATTGCCTCTTTTTAGATTCTGGCCCTATCACATTTCATTTCATTGAACAATTCTTTCATATTATGGTCTCCCTTCCCCAAGGGGCCTTGCACAGCTAGATTCTCAACTTCTAAGAGTCAATTAATTACTTGTAACTCTTCTGTAGGAAACCAACTTGTTAAAGAAAACATTTTTAACTCTACTTTTGAGTTTCTTATGTAATGTAAAGCCGTTATTATAATTCCAGCAACAGGATAGGGGATTCTAAAACTAGGGAACATAGGGTTAAGGTGAGAGGAGGGAGATACAGAAGTGTCCACGGGCAATTTTTTCACACAGAAGGTGGTGGAAGCAAGTACAATTTTGTCACTTAAGAAACATTTAAACAAGTACATGCATGGGATAAGTATGGAGGGATATGGACCAAACAAGCAAATGGGACTAGTTAAGTTGTGAAAACTGGATGGCATGGGCAAGTTGGGCCGATGGGCCTGTTTTTGTGCTGTAAACCTCTATAACTCTGACTGTATTAAAAACTGGACAACAGAAAATTCATTTATATCCATGGTTCGCAGCTCGTAATGAAGTCAACACAAAAAAGTAGCTGATTCCCAGAGGCTGCATTAATTGCTTTCAATGTATGTTAACTATAAATCTTTAATTCCCAACAGTCCTTGGTTAATGACAGTTGCTAGAAGTCCACCAGCAATGGCCCCAGTCACTTTTGCGGCAATAGTGGAGGAAGAGCGTAAGCAAGAAGCTGCACTTGTGAAGAGCAGAGAGAAACCATTGGCTTTGATTCAGGTAACACTAATTGTGAACTCTTCTGTACACTAACTGATTCAGAAATTTTTTCTGGAAAATTAACTGCATTTAGGTATTTGCCAAAGTCACTGATGCTTTAGATTCAGGAAAAAAGGATTTCACCGATGACAACCACATTTAACTTGATGGTTTAATTGTGTTCCTCATTAGCACACTACACTATTGTCTAACTCGTGCAAGGATTAGACTTGTCTGAATGTACATTTTGAGGCAAAGACCATGTAGAAACTTAGATTAGTACAGCACAAAAGGAGACTGTTCAACCTGTTGATCCTGTGCCAGTGCTGGCTGTGCACTTGGAGTTATCTAGAACTGTACAATAATTGAGAGTTGAACAATACTGTTGAAACCTTGTGTCGATGTCAGTTTTCAACAGTCCTGCTCCGCTGCTCTTTCCCTGTAACCTGGCTTTCTTGATACTCCAGGTGCATGCATATATCCTCTTTGAAAGCCACAATTGAATCTGCCTGTGCTATAGGCAATGTATTCCAAAATCTAGCCATTTTCTACATTACAGGGGTCGTCTTTATGTCACCTTATTGTTCCTTTTATTGTGAATCATTATTCTCTGGTCCTTGACCCTTCTGTCAGTGGGGCATGTTTATCCTGTGTAGACACGTCATGATTATATTTGAACTTTTTATTTGCCCTGTACTTCTCTGGTCCATTCCTCCTCCTCCTCCTACGTTCTCAGCAGGAACATTTGTCCTTTAAGTTGTCATAGATCAAAAGTACTTTTTAAGACTTGTGTTTTCAAGATAAATGTAGCCCAAAAGAAACAAGACTGACCACTAACAAACTGTCATATATGCTGAGCATTTGGATTTTGACATGCATATAGCAGTCTATTGAGGGAGTCATACGCAGTCAGCTAGTGCAGTTGCTGAAATATGGAAGTTGAGACGTATTGTTGGGAGCTCCACATTATAAGTGTTCATAATTATCTAACAACTGCACGATAATAGTAAAATAAAACTACGGATGCTAGAGATCTGAAACAAAAACAGAAATTGCTGGAGAAACTCAGTAGGTCTGGCACATCTGTGGGAAGGAAGCAAAGTTAACACTTCAAGTCTGGGCTTACTTCCCACAGATGCTGCCAGACCAGCTGAGTTTCTCCAGCAATTTCTGTTTTTGTTGCACATTAATAGTTGTTGCCGAAACTTTATTTTACTTATGCACAAGCGTATGCAACTAAAATGATCTGATAGTCAGAGGCAGTGCATACAACCTCCATACTCCATTTTCCAACAGATATAGAGCATGGCAGTAACAATAAACACCTGCTCTCCTCTCCTGTATACTGGTAGTGCAATACTTTTGAAATAACCGCAGTTTTCATATGTATAAATTTGTCCTCTCTAGTAGTACAGTTTCAGCATTTTCATCTGTTGCCAACCTCTGGAGCCCAAGTTTTCTGATGTTTCTGTATTCATTTTAAACAGGAAAATTCATCTAAGGGATGTGTTGCATTGCTGGCAACACCAGTGTTTGTTGCCCATCTCCAATTTCTCTTGAAGGTTTTTTTTTCATTCATTCACGGGATGTGGACATCACTGGCTGGGATATATTTATTGCCTATCCCTAATTGCCCAGAGGACAGTTACAAGTTAACCACATTGTTGTGGGTCAGGAGTCCTATGTAGACCAGACCAAGTAAGGTCAGCAGTTTCCTTGCCAAAAAGACATGAGTAAACCAAATGGTTTTCTCTGACCATCGACAACAGTTTCATTTGTTATCTTAATTCCACCATTTGCTGTTACCTGGGTCTCTGAATTAGTAGTCTCATGATAACACCATTAGGCCATTCTTTACACCTACTCCAGGGAACCACCAGAGTCATTGTGGTCTAGTTACTGTACGTCAGGGTGATATGAAGTGAGTTTCATGATTTGACCCAATGACAATGAAGTTCTAAGTCAACTAGCTACCTTTCTCGGTGAATAACGTGAAAAACGCATATTTTAGTGAAGAATGTAGGCAAGATAGTTGTCCCCATTGTTTTCTCTATATGAGTTTAGAAAGAACTGTAATGTATTTTCTCAACTTTTAAAATGAAATAATTTTTATCCTCTATTTTCAGATTGAAGAACGTGCTATCCAGGACTTGCTAATCCACTATCGAGCCTGTAACAATCCTGAGGAGTTTATTATGATTGATAGATCACCACAAGGGCCCATTGCAACCCCAATATGGAGTAAACACTGATTATTATAGCTATATCAACTATTAACCATAACACTGTTTATGAAATTAACTTGGTTAGTGTTTATTCTGAAAAGGCTGAATTTTCAAGAGCAGAGGAGCAAAGAATTGGTTGTTTCTCTCGATCTGCTATTGTGTTTGACCTTAGAGTGCTGTTAAGGGCATAGTTTTAACTGGAATACATATCATTTCAACCTTTTTCACTGGCACGCTAAATTTGAATTTTATATATTAATTCCCTGTCAGATATTGATTTTGTTTTCTCCCCCGCTACCCACTCCACACATGTACTTTGAGTACTGTATACTTTTGAATGCAGCCATGCTAAATTGCTGGCAAAGAATTCTTTTCATGAAAAATGAATAAATGTTTTGGGGAGCAGAAGCTGAAGCCCCGATTGGAGTCAATTAGAAAGCCAGGTGTTATTAAAATCAAAATTATTTCAATGAGCAACTACACTTTTTTAAAGTACGAGTGAGAGGAACATTTGATCTGTTATTTTTGGGCCTTGCCTGCATGTTTTTTTTTTTTGTTTTTTGTGAAAGTTGTAACATATTGAATAGATTAAATAGATAGAGAACAAACACAAGCTTGATTCATAAATTTAGTAGGGATTGTCACAGGGAGATGTGAAGATCAAATTACTTGTCCACAAAGAGGAAAATTAGTCAACTGTCTTGATATTTAAAGGAATGATGGTGGCTTAGAAGCAAGTAAACAGTTGTCTTAATTGGGGTCTGATTAAAGGCAAGTGGGAAGCAATGTCATAATGATCCTACAATGACACTATTGTAGACTCGCTTATAACTATATTTAAACTCTCAAAATCTACTGAGGTTCAGCAGTATTTGCTGATTTTGGAGTACTGCACTTCATGACCCACATGAAATATTAATTTAATATTAATTTATTAATTTCAGCAGTGTTTGCTGATTTTGGAATATTGCAGTACATGACCCACATGAAATATTACTTTAAACTGTCATTTACAGACTTGTTGTAATGTCAGAAATGAGGAAGATTCAATTTCTTATCCAGAAACATTCAATCTCCAGAAAGTCAGTACTTCCTTTTACACAGCCAATCCAAGGCCGATGGCAACGTCACATTGTTCTTTCCCTTGTAGTTATTTAAAAAAAAATTAGATAAAGCTCCAATCAATGGCCTCGAGCACCAAATTTGTCATCTTCATTTTAGGTCTGGCTCCAGCTAAGCTGGTAGTCAAATCTGTGGACAGACTTGAGGTGGTAGGCCTTAACATGATGACCAGCATGGTTGCTGTTTATACTTGGCAGTGGTGAAATTAGTGAGTTCTGAATGAAAGTCCCCTCTTGAACAATTGTGATGCTGCAAGCAGCAGTTGCTTTGCTTTTCTTTTTGAAACTTAACAGGCTTGGATTGCAATTGGATCCATCCCTGCTAACTATCATAAGTTGATATGTTATTGTTCCAGTGCAGCTCAAATATTTGCGTTGGTTTTGTAGTGCTAAAATCTAATGAGAAAACTGTTACAAAATAATTCTGTGCATGAATCAGACAGAAACATCTTGAGCAATTTTTTTTTATTGCTGATGCACAGTTGAAGGTTTGAACTTATACTGAGTCACTAGTCAATTTGAACGCAATGCAATCTGCTAGATTTAATTTTTAGGTGTATTCTCTGCCCAATATGTACATTATTTGAAACAGCATGATATTTGTGCGTATGCTTGAAAGGCCTTTATTGTAGCCGTGTGATTGGGCAGTGTTGGTTGTGCTTGATTTGTATGCATTTGCACAATTGAGAATGGAACTGCTGACTTTTCTGTACCCTTGTCAAAGCTAGTGTGATTTTGGGTCTAGCAAGTAAAACATCTGTTACTGCTAATGGATAACTTGGCAAATTAAACATAACCACTTGAAAGCAGTGTCACTGTGTACAAGATGTGTTGGGGGAATGGGCAAGCAAAAGTAATACTTAAGCTGCAGTGTACATGATCCTTTGTTGTTTAAAAGAAAATATTTTCATGTTCATGGAGTTTAGCCATGACAAGTGGCAAGCTGGAAAAATGAAAGCAATAAATGTGTATTTGACTTGAATGTGAGATATTTTTCACTACAATACTATATAAATGCTCCTTCTGCTTTATTAACAGATGTAATTGACTTTTCCTGTTCATTCAGTTTCAATATTTCAATGAAGTCTATCATCCAAAAAGAAATAAGCACTTAAATGCTATTACTTTACAAGATTTTCACCATATTGATAAGATTATTTTTCTGCTACCGCTGATTCTGGCATCACTGAGGAATGGACTTTTTAAAAAAAAAACTTAAAACTATATTTAATCTTCTTACAGAAGTGCAGTGGAATTTCTATAAATATTTACTTTAAATTTTTAACTTAAAAGTTCTTAATTTTACCATATTTTCAGCCTTGTATAACCTATTTGATTTCTACTTTCATCACAAAAATATCCGGCCATACTTTGCCATGATTGTCCCTGTGCATTTCAAACATTTTTGGTAGCTTACAGCAGCTCTGCATATGTCATATATGCATAAAGTTACAGTAATTATTTTTACACTACTTACAAAGCAACAGTTAATTTAAAAACTCACATTGCCTGCAAAAGTGAAGTTATTCACAGGCATGTGGGAGGTCACTTATTCATCTTTACTTCAAACAAAAAGTTGCTCTTGCTCCATCTTAACAAGCATTGATGCAACAGAGGTTTAATGAAAAGGAAATGATTATGCAAAGAAAATGTTTCCGGAGAGGAAAGATAGAGCACTGAAAATAAATGCAGATAAATTTAATTTGTTGTTAGATATGGGATCTGCTAGCGAAGTTTTATTACCTTTGTCCAATGTAGTTCTGACAATTTGCTAGACCACTTACTACCACTTGGTGCCTTTACCATTACTCCACCACCACCACCTCATTTCCATATTAATGTCCCCTGCTGAATAATCCAGAACCCAAGTTAATATTCTGGGGACATGGGTTCAAATTCTACCATGGCAAATGGTGAAATAATTCAATAAAAATGCAGAATAAAAGGTCTAGTGGTGACTATGTAACCACTACTGATTGTCATAAAGAAAAATCTGGTTCATGAATGCCCTTTAAGGAAGGAAATCTCTATCCTTATTTTGTTTGGGCTGAATGTAACTCCAAACCCACAGCAGTGTGATGGACTCCTGACTGTGCTTGTGGAAGGGCAATAAATGCTAGCAGGCCAGTGACACCTGCATTCCACAACAGAAACAGAAAAATCCCAATTCCCTTAACAAATAGGTTGCCAGGTGAAGTTAGTTATTGACCAAGGTGAAGATCTCAAAACCCATATCCAAATGCTTTAACCAGGAGACTTCATTTAAGAAATGACTTAGAAGAAGAGAGAAGGTGCTGGAGGAAATCCCAAAGCCTTGCGGGGAGGCTTCTGAAGGCATGGTACACAATAATGCACAGGATAGTGAGATTAAAAGCACAATTGACAAGAATAGTTATATGTACCAGATGAGGTAGAAGTTGTAGGTTCCCTTTCATGAAGGATGTTAAAACATAAGGAATAATACATACGGCCAATTGAGTCTGCTCCAGTGTTCAATAAGACCATGGCTAAGCTGATTGGAATGGAGACCACACTCTCCCACCAGTACCCCATCAATTTTGACTACCCTATAGTTATGTCATTTCAGCTTTTTAGTTAATCAGCCAAAAGAATTCCGAAGATTCATGAGCTTCAGAAGAAATTCTCCCAATTTGTCATAATATTATGGCGTATATTATCTCTGTCTTAAATGTAGTGGTGTACAATAATAATTGAATGTAAATAAAGGAGTGAGATCAATAAGTTCATGGATGACACAAAAGTTGATAGAGTTATAATTAATGAAGAGGATAGCTATAAGCTGCAGGAGATATCAACCTGACCAGTTAAGTGGGCAGAGCTCACTAATGTAAAAAGGTGGCACAGTGGTTAGTGGTGCTGCCTCACAGCACCAGGGACCTGAGTTTGATTCTAAACTTCGGTGACTGTTGATGTGGAGTATGCATGTTCTCAAATTGCCCCTAGTGTCCAACGATGTGTAGGCTTGTTGGATTAGCCATGGTAAATGTGGGGTTATGGGATAGGGAGGGGGCTTGCATCTACGTGGGATACTTTTTGGAGTGTTGGTGCAGACTCAATGGGCCGAATGGCCTCTTTCAGCACCGTACGGCTTCTATGAGCAGTGGCAAATGGAATTCAATGCAGGAAACGGAGAGGTCATGATCTTGGAGAGGGCAATAAGGGAAGTGATTACATGATGTATACAGGCAGTCACTGACTCAGAGACTTAGAAAGTGCTGACTGACCTGGATAGTTATTCACTGCCTGTTAGCCAATAAAGTTTTAGTCTAACATCAGGGTAACTATACGACAGATGCCCCTTGTGCCAACCTCCCAACCCTGCAAATACCTACATCAAAAACCTAGACAGGAAATTGGAGAAAGTTGAGCTGGCTTTCTTTGGTATGTTCAGTTCAATTAAAGGGATTCCAAGACTGACTGGAAATCTTAGACTGATAATATCTCTGCAGCCATTTTATTTAAGACCCAGAATGCAGACCATTAGGTTCAATCGATGTGTCTGCCTTTAGACCCAGTTGTTTGATTAATACTTTTTGTCTAGTGACAAAGAACCATACCAGACTACTTACAGCAAGACTGCAGCTTTCCTGATCACTTTTGTTCTGATTTTTTTTCAGGATGGCTTCTTACTATCCATTCTCACGTGAACGTTCCTATTCCTACTGTAGTCTGTAAAGGAATGTCCGTAACAGCGTTCAGTAAAGAGCTCTGAGATTTCGGGATCCAGCAAGAATAATTAAATGATGCAATCCATATCAGGAAAAAAAGAGTGACTGAGTTAATTGTGCTCCTATGCACATGCTGCCTTTGTCCTCTTGAATAAAACACAAAAATATATGATTACATTTTGTTTGCATAATACTGGAGTTGGCTGGCATTTGTACTGAGACACCACTTAAGGAATTTCATTAAGGGTGTACACCTCTTAAATTCTGCCTACAGAGTTATGTTGGGACAGGAATCATTGCTAATTCTCTAAAATTGTATTTGAGCTGTGAGGCTCAAGTAATCTCATAAAACAAGTTTGTCACATTTAAATATTGGCACCAGATGGCTCTATCTGAATATTCCACAGTTTGCTTATTTCACAACTTCTGTGGTTGGCCATCCATGAATATCTTTAATAATTTAAGAGAAGTGTTTGATGTAGTTCATATTATTTGATTTTCAAGCTGATGAGAGGCAGTGGGATCCTCACATGATAACCAGTAGCCATGATATGTTAATGATGGTACTCCATACCAGATTCCTTACTGGGAAGGTTATGTTTTTGTTTTGGAATGACAGCTTGCCTATGAAGGTTTTTTTTTTGTTTCATGTTTGGAAAAACATCTAGAACAAGCTTAAATGACACCAGTACACTTTGCCATCAGTGTAAATGATGATTTTGTAATGTACTTTGATGTACCACTGCAGTTTTCCAGAGAAATGAGTTTCGGGTTTGCGAGAGGACCAACTGAACAACCACATGGAGAGGAAATGGGATTGTAGTCCGTTCCCTAGAGGATGTTCCTCACTATAGGAAAGGAGACGTTCGCTCACAAACTGGGCAACAGCACAAAAAAACAAAGATTAACTCATCATTTAACCTTATTTTATATAGTTGTTGTGATTGCTAATTTGTGTTGCAATGTCTTGGTTCTAGAGCAGTTTGGGATGTCTAGTGAATGCGATAAATTAGAGTGGCATTAATTTTCTTTATGCACCTATTCACAGTCCAGTGAAAGAATTTTGCAAAATAAGGTATGCATTTAGTGTGAAAAGACATTTAATTAACAGACTTTCAACTCACTTAGCTATTGTTTTGACAGATTATCATGGATTTTTGCATACTGCAGAACGGAATCATCCTTTGTTTTCCCTACTAACCCTCAGTTTTTGTTAAAACTTGTTGTTGCACGCACATTGCTTAGGTCAGGATTACAGGTAAATATTGGGATGTTTTCTTGTCTGCAAGAGATTGGAAGGAAGACTTCTTTGCACTCATTGCAAAATGGAGAGAGGGTTCCTCCATACATGTGAAGCAGAGTAGAGAGAGGATTACAATGTCTAAGTCAGAATGGAGAATCAAAAACAGGAAATGCTGGAAACAAGCCGCAGAAGAATCCTATTTGACTCAAAATGGTAACACTTCCTCCGCTGCTTCAAATCTGCTGAGTATTTAGAGTGGTTTCTGTTTTTATTTCAGATTTCAGGCATCCACAGTGTTTAGATATTGTTGTACTGAAAGAATTTCTCTGCTTACTTCAGTAAGGGATCTGTACCGACATTGAGTACCTAAAGATGTACACTAAAATTCAGCATGCAGCAAGGAAAAGCATGCCAGTAGCTACAGAGGGAACTAGATCCATGGAAAAGAAAACAAAGAAAAAACAGAAAAGATATAAAACAATTCCAATTTGTTGAATACTTTATTTAGATTTTAAGAATCTAGGAATACAAGGGTTTAATAGGAGAATTATAGGATTTAATAGGAAAATGTAATACAAAAACATCTAGCAAAAAAAAATAAACCAAAATATCTTTTACTATTGAGATACCTAGGAAAAGGGTTAATGCACCACCAAGATCTAAGCTTGGGGTTTATAAGCCTGGCAATTTTTTTTATTTATTCATGGGGTGTAGATGTCACTGTTTGGCCAACATTTATTGCCCTTCCCTCATTGTCCTTGAGAAGGTGATGGTGAGCTGCCTTCTTGAACTGCTGCAGTACACCTGCTGTGGGTTGACCCACAATGTTATTAGAGAGGGAGTTCCAGGATTTTGACTCAGTGCCACTGAAGGAATGGTGATATATTTCCAAGTCAGGATAGTGAGTGGTTTGGAGGGGAACTTGCAAGCAGTGGTGTTCCCATGTATCTGCTGCCCTTGTCCATCAGGATGGAAGTGGTTGTAGGTTTGGAAGGTGCTGTGTGAGGATCTTTGGTGAACTTCTGTAGTGCATCTTGTTGATAGTACACA